AAAGAGGAGCTTTCTTGAGTGTTGGAACAGCTCAGAGGAGACCCACGTAGGTATCTCCTCTCTGCAGGCAGATTGTTTCATTGAGTGTTCAACTTTCAGCAGAGAGGAGCCCCTGGAGAGGGTAGCTCCTCTCTGCAGCTGGTCATCCTGTCTTCTCTCCATCCTCTGCCCTGTTCTGGCTGAGCCCAGGGCTTTTATGGACCTCAGCGGGGAGGAAGTATGTGCTGATTGGTCCATGGAGGACCATGGGTGGGCCCAGAAAAAGCATCATAAGTCTCCACTCTGGTCTGCAGGACTGGCAGTCCAGCTCCTAGCCTTTAGGTCCTCCCTGCCTGAAGGTGGGATCTTATGGGGACCTGTCTACTTCCACTCAGGAACTTGACTGCCTCCCACAGCTGTCTGTGGTGCCCAGGTTGCTTGCACTAAGGGGCACCTGCAGGCTAGCACTGAGCCACCCTCAGCACCCCTTCAGCTTCCCCTCTCATGCTTATCAGTGCCCAAATTCCAGAGGGGGCCAAGGTGGCAGGGAGCTGGTATGTCAGCACTTCCCAGGGTGTGTGCACACCCACCTGACCTGTGACAGTGCCCAGGCTCAGCCCCAACCCTGCTCTGAGGCTGGAGTGGGTGCCAGGAGTGAAGAGAAGCCAGGTAGTGGGAGCAGACACTCCCAAGCCTGTGGAGACAGAGGGGAGGTATGGGAAGGCCTTGCTGGGCCCCTGAAGGTACAGACTGCAGTGACACCCAGGGCCAGCGCCTGGTGAGTTGGGGGGCAGCTACAGCTGCACCTGGGGAGCTCCCACCCCCACGAACTCAGAAGGGGTGGGGCTCCTGCTTGTCCCCAGCTCCTGCTTTCTGGAGCATGCAGCCCTGGCAGTGCCTCAAAGTGGGTGCTGACAGCAGGGAGAAGCCAGGTAGCAGAAGCAGATGGTTCCAAGCCTGTGAGGGCAGAGGGGCCTTCCTGGGCCCCCAAGAATGCAGGGATGCCTGAGTCTGCAGCCACAGTTTGGGTGGCTGCAGCTGCATGAGTTGGGGGTCAGGGGGGCCTCCTGCCTGCTCCATGGAGCAGAAGGTTGGGATCTACAGCTGCAGTTTGGGCAGCTGCCACAGTACCCCGGGAGCAGCCTGGGCTGCGCCTCCCTGCTGCCGCTGGTGTGATGGCAGTGGCAGGCCATCTGGAGGCATCACCATCCCCTGACATTGTCTAATTCTCCCAGAGCATCATTTCTCCTTGGCTTTCACTGATCTTTGCAGGCAGCTTGGCCCCCAGTGGTCCACATCTATAAGAAAATCATGCCTCCCCACCAGTAAGAAGATGTTGCTATAAACCTCCAACATGTGTATACCTATTTTTTACGTTATGTATGTGTACGTGTTCTGTAAGTGACGAAACACCCACTCAAGCAGGAATAGCAAAGGGAGGAAGAGCCAACAATAACTAGAGCTCCCAATCTTTCTTTTCTGCCTCAGTTGCAGTCCTCACCCTGGTAGTCTGCCATCTGCCCCCACACTACCTCCCATAGCACTCCCTGAGGTCACTGAGTCATTGAATCCAAGGGGGACTCTTTTTCTGGTCTCAGCAAATGGCACAGCCTGGCAGCTCTGCTCTCTCTGCTGGCTTCCCTGTGCCCCTTGTTGGACGGTGCTCCATCTCCCATCTTAAAAAAAAAGTTACTTATTTATTTGAGAAAAGGTCTTGCTCTGTTGCCCAGGCTGGAGTGCACTGGTATGATCATGACTCCTAGGTACAAGCAATCCTCCTGCCTCAGACACCCATGCTGCTGGGACTATAGGTGTGCGCCACAACACTCAGTTATTTTTATATTTACTTTTTGTAGAGATGGCTGGGCAGGGGCGGGGGCTGGGTTTCACTATGTTGCCCAGGCTTGTCTTGAACTCATGGCCTCAAGTGATCCTCCCACCCAAAGTGCTGGGATTCCAGGCACGAGCCAGCACACCCAGCCCACCTCCCACCTTGCATCCTCTCGGTCAGCAAACCTGGGGCAATCTTACGCAAACATGGTGCTTTAACCTATTCTCAGATCTTTTGTAAGGATCTGATTTCCTTGCTGTCTCGTGGTCTCCTTCAGACTCTTCTCCGGAGCAGCTGGAATGATTTCTTAAATTGCAAATCAGATCAGAATACGCTTGGCTCAAGTGAGCCAGTGGCCTCCCAACACATTCAGAATAGAATCTCTGATGCTCCTGGGGGCTTACTGAGTGTCTGCACAGTGCCCCCTCCTCTTCCCCACCCCCTTTCTGCCTCGGCATCAGCTGCCTCCTATCACTCCCTGAACCATGGCCAACCCTCTCCTATAAGACGCTTGCATACGCTGACCCCCAGCAGCCCCACTCCTCTCTCTCTTCAGCTGCTTCTCCACCTGTCACCCCTTGGGCTACTTTTCTTCACTGCACCTTTCACTCAGGACCTGGTACACAGTAGGTGCTAACAGATATGTGGTTTCCCCAAACTTATGTCCCTGCTCCCCTGAGCTCCAGAGCCCCATGCCACCTTCCTTCTAGATATCTTGTGTGTGTCCCATGATCTCCTCCATCTCAACAGGTCCAAAAAGTATATATGATCTTCTCCTAAAACCTGCCACCCAGCTCTTCCAGCCATTCCCCATTGGCCCATATTAGAAACCCGGCAGGGACGCCAGACTGCTCACCGCTGAGGGCTGAGTGGATCCCAAATCCTACTGACTTTCTGAATGCTTCCTCACATTCAGCCCTGACCGTGGAGGGCTTTGCTGGGCCCTCATTATTCACCAGCTGGTCTCCCTATCCAAGCCCCACCCCTTCACATTACTGCCAGGTGCTCCTGGAAACTTGGTCATCACATAACCCCAGGTTGTCTTGACAATGAAGTTCAACTCGGTTCCTGGGACCCACATGATCCACTACAGCTGTCCCCACCCCACACCCCCTGCTACCTCTCTGGCTTCACTTTCAGACCAAATAACCTGTAGTGTCCCTGAACACCTCCACAGCTCTCTGTGCTGCCTGTTGCCTGGAATGCCCATCCCTCACCTTCCTGTCGCATCTTCTCCAACAGGAGAAATTGTATTTGTCTTTCCAAATTCCTCACCTCCCTTCTGTATTCCCACACCTGTCCTCCTGCTGTATTTTACTAACCCATATGTAGATGCTTATCTATAAATATTTGTATAGTAGCCTGAATCTATATTAAACTGCATGCGAGTTCATACCCAGGTCTCCAAGTCTACTTGGAGTAGATAATGATCTACTACCACATGGATCATTCGCTCTCTCTCCCTGCTTATCTGTAACCTCCCATTGCAACTGTGAAATGGCTCCACCATCTGCCAACCATTTACTGTGTTGCTCAATCCTGGTATACATGCATAGTGGTCTCTCACTGTATCTTATGTGTAAGTTTATTTGTCCTCAAGATTAATGCTTATTCCCAAGCACTTAAAAGTATCTAAGAATACTAAACACATGCCACTGATCTACATATAAATTTATTTAATTCTCACGATGGCCATGTGAGACATTTATTATTAGTTCCATTTAACAGAAGAGAAAACTGAGGTACAGAAAAGCCAAGTAACTTGCCCGAGTTGCACAATTAATATGGCAGAACCAAAGTTTGAACCCAGGAAGTAGACATCCAGAACCATAAACTTCATAGCCTCCCCTGTATTAGAGGTGCCACTGTGTCTTGACTTCTGATATCCTAACCTGAGGCTACTCCTCAGCTCTCAGAGTCTTCATCTTTGGTTGTTTCTGTGCCCCTTCCAGGATGCAGATCCCTGCTGCAGAAGGTCAAGGATGGTTCAACCACAGTGCTCTATTTACTTCCTCTGGACCCGCCTGTGAGTGATTTAGCTTGTTGGTTGTGGAATCGCCATTCCATACCCACAAAAGGTGCTCCCAAGTCCCTCTACTGTCTCTCCCGGCCACCAGTCTCTGCCACCCAACTACCAGGAGAAGACATCACTTCTTGCACAGGCCATTCAGCACTTTCCTTTCAAGGTTTTATCTATATTTTTGCACATACATACACTTACACTTGCACCCTTTATTCATATCTCTAAGAAAAGCCTCCAGCTCTCTATATTTTGGGGGGAGACCTGTGTTAATGCATTTTTACACTGCTGATAAAGACATACCAGAGAGTGAGTAAATTGTAAAGAAAAAGAGGTTTAATGTACTCACCATTCCACATGGCTGGGGAGGCCTCACAATCATGGTAGAAACCAAAAGGCACATCTTACATGGTGGCAGACGACGGAGAATAAGAACCAAGCAAAAGGCGTTTCCCCTTATAAAACCAGCAGATCTCTTGAGACTGATTCACTACCATGAGAACAGTATGGGGGAAACTGCCCCCATGATTCAATTATCCCCCACAGGGTCCCTCCCACAACACAGGGGAATTATGGGAGTTACAATTCAAGATGAGATTTGGGTGGGGACACAGCCAAACCATATCAAGACCCTGTTCCTTTTCCCTTCCTCCCTGGCCACAGTCTCAAGATTTCAAGACTCCTCAAGATTTCACTACACACCTGAGGACATTTGGAAGCTTGCTCAATCTTACATTTATTTATTTATTCGAGACAAGGTCTCACTCTGTCATGCAGGCTGGAATGCAGTGATGCGATCATGGCCCAGGACAGCCTTGACCCCTCGGGCTCAAGTGATCCTCCCATTTCAGCCTCCCAAATAGCTGGGACCATAAGGGCGTGTCACCATGCCCAGTTAAAAAAAATTTTTTTTTGAGATGGGGTCTGAGTTGCTCAGGCTGGATTATAGTGATGAAATCTCAGCTCACTGCAACCTCCACCTCCCAGGCTTAAGCAATCCTCCCACCTCAACCTCCGGAGGCCCTCTTCTAAATGCTGGAGATTCAGGGATAAACAAAACCAACCAAGCCCCTGGCCTCAAGGAACTAATACCTGTGCAGTCAAATTGCCTGAAGGAGCCCGGAACTTCCTCCTGCCTTGCACTTGCTCTCAGAACAGCAGCATGTTTTGTTGAAAAGTGATCAGATTCATTTTATTGACTATACAGAAGCAATTCCATTTTCCACTAATAATATAATTTAGGATTAAGAATTCTGACTCAGTGTTTCCACAGGCACCTGTTCCTGAGCTTTCTGGATGTCGTTGTTTCTGACATCACACCTTCCTAGATAGGTATTTCTGGAAGAGGATCTGATAAGAGGATGAATTTGGCTCTAAACAAATGCTCAGGGCCCCAGAAGATCTGTCGGGGCCACAGAGTCAGTTTATCTGGCAAAATTTGGTTCCTTCCATTTTGCCACTATAGTAACTGTTTTTGTTACGTTACCAGGAGCCACACAAAGGCTGACCCAGCAAGGTGGAAGACCAGCTGTTCACTTGACTCGGGGCTGGTGAGGGGCCAATCTGGAGAGAGACAGCCCGGCTTCAAGAACAGCAAGGAAGCCCTTTGCACAGTTCCCACTGGGGTGGGGAGGCTGGAGATGAGGGCTGCATTCCACGTCAGACTCGTTTTATTTCTGGATATTTACAGACAGCTAGAAGTCAGAAAAACAGGCCAAAGGAGGAAGCCCCTGGCAGACCCGCTCCACTGGCTTCCTCTCCAGAGTCACTGTTCTGAAGTGATAGGTGGAAGCTCTTTCAGTTCCTCCTTTTCTGGGTACACTTCAGACACCTTATTCATTTTGGTGAAAATCTGATTGATCTCCATGAACGTCTTGGCCTTGGTCTCGGGGACAATCAGGAAGATGTAGATGGTGGTGAGGAGACAGATCACAGCGAAGACAATGAAGCTGTACGGGCCGAGGCCCTCCTGTGGGAAGAGGGGCAGGTGACGTGTAGGACGGGGCTTGCCCAAGGGCTCACGCTCTACTGCGTGGGGATCTGGTGAGAGTGGGCCCCACTCACCTGGATGAACGGGAAGATCAAACCCACGGTGAAGTTGGAGAGCCAGTGCACACTGCCCCCCACCATGAAGGCGGATGGCCGAGAGGACTGCAAGAAGATCTCAGTGATGAGCAGCGCGGGGATGGGACCTGTGGGGGGAGGAGAACAGCCTCCCTGAAGGCAGAGAAGGCCCAAGCATCCCAGGCCTGGCCATGCAGGCCCTGGAGCAGCGGCGTCTCCAGGACTCAGGCTGGGGGGCAGCACGCAGGAGGCAGATGGCAGCGTACAGGGATGGCTGGCCAGCGACCACCTGTGAGGCCCACTCTGCTGCTTGCACAGTCTGCGTGTTCCTACCCACACCACTACTTTACCATTTTCACCCTCATTTCGTGCCGCACCCCACCCCTGCAGTGGAGGGGGGAAGAGATGCCATTTCCAGGCTGCACTGGGCCATCCCTGATGCGTCTAAGGAGCTCTAGCCAGGAGCTTCTGGGCCTGGAGGGGGTGGTGACATCCTGAGGCCAGCTTCAGGTACGTACTGGGCCCAAGGGCATGTCCTACGACGTAGGAGATGACACAGACGATGCTGATATATGGCATCCAGGATACCGTGTCCTGTGGAGAGAAAGCAGTTGGTTCACCTGGAGCAGACAAGCTAGGATGGGACCCCAGGGTGCGGCCAACCTGCCCTGGTGGGTGGAAGATGGCACCTGGCTCCTCCCCCAGCAGTGCCACCTCGATGAGCCACTGGGAAATCAGCTGAACGTGGGCTGTGAGCTAGTAGGACACATGGTCCCCTAGATATCTGGCCGCATGTATTTGCTAAAACAGCTCACTGTGACCCCCTTTCCTTTTAAAGACAGGTGGGGGTGAGGGTGGGAGCCCTGGTCTTCTTGGTGCAGCTCTGGGCTCCGGGGACCCTGGCCCGCCCTCACCTGCAGGGCCAGAGCCGCGGTGAGCACACAGCAGGCTGTGAGGCAGATGGAGAAGCCCAGCAGCAGCAGCAGCCTCCGACCCAGCAGCTCCACCACGAACACCTACAGGAGGGCGGCAGGGCTCGGGTGACAGGCCCAGCTTCACCCTCCTTCCAGCCCCTTCCCATGGGGCAGCTGTGAGGAGAGCTGGGCAAGCCGGGTGCCCACCCGCGTGCACATTCACTCCTGTGTGCAAGACATGCCCTCGGTTGGCCAGCAGGAAGTCGGCTGTGGCCGGGATGCGGGGCCCCCAGCTGCCCGCCCTTGAGACTCAGCTCTAGGGCCTCCTAATCCCACAACCCTGAGCCTGAGGATCCGCGCCCGCCCGGGAGACCAGATGTCTGCATGCACCAGGAGACGCTGCCCCCACGGAGCCTGTTCCCATCCTGAAGTGGCCGAGCCTCACTCCAGGTATCCCGGGCCTGGAGCCACCCGGCAGTGGGCGCTGCCCGGTCCAGGCGCCCCTACATTCCGGTCAGGCTGTCGCCCTAGGCCCGGTGCGGCTCAGCAGGCCCAAGTGTGAAGGGCCGGTGCGGGGCCACCTCCCAAACAGAGCCTCTGTACAAGGGGCTGGGCCTCCATGTTTGGGAACCACGGGCTGCCCTCTTGGCGGCGCTGAGGCTGGGACGTGGGGGCCCGAGGGGCTTTGGGTGGAGGCTGCGGGCTGCTCCCAGGACACTCACAGCGCAGAAGGTCATGACCACGTTCACAGCCCCGGTGCCAGCCGTCACATACTGCACGTGCTCCTCCTTCACGCCGGCGCTCAGGTAGATCTGGTCCGCGTAATAGTATATCTGCAAGGCAAGCGCGAGGCTGGGCGGCTGCCCGGAGGAGGCGGCCTCTGCGCCGGGACCCACGCCCCGCGCCCCCGAGCCCTCCCCAGCTCCCGAGCCACGGCCCGGCCCATACAGCATTGACGCCCGACAGCTGCTGGCCGCCCATGAGGACGATGATGGATAGCAGCTGCCAGCGCAGCGAGCGCATCCGGAACAGCTTCAGCACGGAGATAAAGCCGGCGGCCTTCTCCGCCTCGTCCTCCTGCCGGATCTCGGCCACCTCCGCGTCTACGGAGTCCCAGCCGCGCAGTGTCTTCAGGGCTGGGGAGAAGTGGCGCCGTCGGACCAGGGTTCGGGGGCAAAGCTTGGAGGCCGCACCCACCCGGGCCCTCATTACCTTTCTTGGCGGCCGCTTCGTCTTTCTTCTGAATCAGCAGGTATCTGGGGCTCTCGGGGAAGAAGGGCAGCAGAGCGAGCTGCAGCGCCGCGGGGACCCCAGTGAGCCCCAGCAGGATCGGCCAGCCTGGGAGGAAGGCAGAGAGCTGGCACCAGCGGCCTCCCCACCACCCAACAGGCACCCTCTGCACGGAGCCGGCCCCATCACCCTGAGCGAGGCATAGGTCAGGAGGGCACAGCTTTCCCAGACCTAAGAACAGCGATCCCCCGCAGTGGACACTTGGGAAGCGCCGGCGTCAGGGCTCAGCAGCGATGAATTACTGAGCCCACCAGAGGGACCACACCCACGAGGCCAGCAACACCAAGTGCTGGTGAGAACGTCCCCGTGTCCTTCGGAGGACAGTCTCGCAGGGGCTGGAGGAGCTAGGCACACCCGGCCTGACCCAGCTGCCTGCTCCCAGCTCTGCGCCCAGAGAAGCCAGGCTACCAGGATGCCTGAACTGGAATGGTCACCGCAGATTTGATGATAGAAAGGACACCACAAACAGTGGGAATGTCCTGAATATTCCACGTAGAGGGGACACGTGCGCTGCTGCACTCAGGAGTGGAGTTTGATACTGCAGTGAACACGCAGCAAGACTCAGTGTGGACGCCTCTCACAGAGGCGTTGAGTGTTGAGTTCAAGTCCACACACTGCAAGGCCCTTCCGTAAAGTTCAGAAATGGTAACATTCACCCTGCTCCTGCCAAAGGTGAAACTAGAGGCAAAGCAAGGAAACGAAGCAGAGAGCTTCACAAACGCCTAGAGCGCCGAGTGTGGTTCTGAGTTCTGCTCGAGCTCCCTGAGGCAGGAACCTGGCTGATTCACTTCTGGTCCCAGCTCCTAATGAGGGCGTGGCACCTCAGCATAAGTGTCCCCAACACATGCAGGAGTGAAGGAGAGGCAGGAGCATGTGGCACTGAAACAGGAACCTAGGCCTGTGCCGTGGGTCTGCATCCGCTTGAGACCTTGGAGCAGTTTTCCAATATCTCTGTGCCTCAGGTGATATACCTGTAAAATGGGTATGATACTGACCTAGGCTTCATAGGACTGTTCTGAGGAACACATGAGTTACTAAAAAAGACTTGGCACTTGGCCCACAACAAGCACTTTCTATAGAGAGCGTCTAAGCAGCACAGAGCCTGATGGTCCACTTGACTGACTTGCAGGCAGTATGTGAAACCCTGACGGGAAATGGCTTATGTTTTGGCTGATGAGATGACTGATGATGGTTTAAGGGAGAAAGTCATGCAAAAACAATACCAGTTAAAGGCATCTGTTCAACTTCCGCATGCCAGGCCCTGGGCTGTCTTGGGGAGGGTGGAGGCAGAGTCTACGATGTCCTCGCCACCTCACCCATGGGGCCAGGCCACCCTGACTCCTGGTACTTCCCTTTCTGGTCTGCAAAATGGGATCGTCACCGAGCCCCAGGCCACAGTGTTGCTGGGAACAGTCCTGTGAACTGATGCTGGGCCTGCCCTAAGCACAGAGCCTGGCACACTGGTGGCTGTCATTGCTATGCCACGGGCCTCCATATGGACAGCTGCTGAGCAGACAGAGAAGTGGATCACTCAAAGCCACTTCGTCCATCTCCTAAGAGGGACTAGAGAGTAAACACTGGCCAGTCCATCATCACGCCTTTGTCCAGGGCCTGCTGTGTGGGCTCAGGAAAGGATGGGCCCCCCAAGCACAGCCACCTGTTAGAAGAGGCCAGTCCGCAGAAAGCCCTGTCCTGTGGTGGTGGCTTTGGAGAATGAGGAGGGGCCAAGGGTGGTGGTGAAGGGGTAGGGGTGGTCCCGAGATGCCCTGAACTCACCATCTTCATTTGCAAGGAGATTCCGAAGACCGAAGATCTGGGCCACGAGGATGCCGACAGTGATGAAGAGCTGGGGCACCACCCCAAGCGCCCCCCTCAGGTTTTTAGGGGCCAGCTCCCCTAAGTACATGGGGACCACGTTGGAAGATAAACCTGGGAGGAGGCGAAATCGAAACACCATCAGGAAAAATTAGTCTGGCAGGGACAAGCTGTGTCTTCAAGTATATTATTCTTAGCAATCACATTATTTGGGCCAGAACTCTCTGAAAACTGCAAAGGAGAAAGCGAACACCTCTTAATTCTTAGCTCTTCATACTTTAAGGAAAGAGAAAACAGATCAAAGGAGCTCACCCACAGGGTCCCTTGTTTCAGCTCATGTCATCTGGGGGCCCCGGCCAGCTGGACCTAGGGCCTTCCCTCTGCCCCGGCCCTTCCCTCTGCCCCGGCCTGAGTCTAGACCCGCTCACACTTCTGCTGTTTGAGGAGGATCTGTTTAATAAATGGTAAGGCAGCTGGGTATGATGGCTCATGCCTGTAATTTCAGCACTTGCAAAGGCTAAGTGGGGAGGGTAGACCACTTGGGGCCAGGAGTTTGAGACCAGCCTGGGCAACATAGTGAGACCCTGTTTCCACTAAAACATATGTATATATATACATATATATATGTGTGTGTGTGTGGTGTGTGTGTGTGCGCGCACGCACAATGTATGTGTGTGTGTGTATATATATATATGGCCTGTGTGTGTATTTATATATGGCGTGTGTGTGTATGTGTGTGTGTGTATAGCCTGCATGTATGTATGGCTTGTGTATGTGTGTGTGTTTATAAATATATATATGGCCTTATATATGGCCTGGTGTGTGTATACATACATGGCATGTTGTATGTGTATATGGCCTCTGTGTGTGTGTATGCATATATACATATATATACACATATATATAAATCCTGGGTGGGCGTATGTGTGTACATGGTGTGTGTATGCGTGTATGGCCAAGGACCCCTGGCCCTCAGCATATAATAAACCAATGCAGAGATACTTTCATATACTTTTAAGAACAAGTTATATGTCTCAGTAAACATTAGAAACTTCAATACATATTATGGAATATCTGCATTTCTGGGATGTATGTAATGCCTGAACTACTTCTGAATCCCCAGTATTTAAACTTGTACATTTTTCCATTGTAATCTAGTGGAGGGAAAACTTACTATATTTTATAGAATGAGATGTTGCCTGATGTTAATAAAAAAAATAGACAAAATTTAATTTTACAGCTTCCAAAGTATTTTCACACATATTGTCCTATTTAATTCTCCTAAAAGCACATCCAGAGGCTGGGGATAGAGAGGAAGTTTTACTAGTCCAAGTAGCATGTAGCCAGTCCTGGATCAAGCAGAGGCTCAGAGGATGTGGGTGTCTGACAGGGAGACCCTCAGGAACAGAGTTTGGAGCAAGTGGAGGTTGCTGCTGCTGTCGATGGCAGGGTAATGGATGGCACTGAGATGGGAGGGTACCTAAGGCCATGTTTTCCTGCTTGGCAATTCTACCCACAGATGTCTCTGCTTAGTATTTGAAAAGTGATATCACAGTTCATTAATACCGATTCTTCTCCATTTTCAGAGCAAAGAAGGGCAGTCTTTAAAGCAGCTCTTAGCATGCCTAGGTGGGAAAAGGGGGCAACGCCTCGCAGGCCCAGGGCAAAGAGCTGCAGAGGAAGGCAAGGCTTCCTGGGAGCTGAAGTGGAGGCTCTGTCCTTACCACTTAACAAGAGCCTGGGGCCACTTAGCGGCCAGAGCACCTTAACTTGGTGAAGGACATAAGGAGTCAAACTTCAGGAGGTCTGTGACAAGATGGGGTTACCTATATGTTGGTGGAAAGCAATCTCTACTTTTGTCTTTAAAATGACTCCACAAGGACTGCCCAGCCAGCTAGTTCTGATGCTAGAGTCAGAGCAAAGTGGCTTTTAAAGTTTAAATTCCTCCTCCTGGGCACCGCAGCTCACACCTGTAATCCCATCACTTTGGGAGGCCGAGGTGGGTGGATCACTTGAGGCCAGGAGTTTGAGACCAGCCTAGCCAACAGGGCAAAACCCCATTTCTACAAAAAATACAAAAAAATTAGCTGGGCGTGGTGACTCACACCTGTAGTCTTAGCTACTCGGGAGGCTGAGGCTTGAGTGTTGCTTGAACTTGGCGGGTGGGGCTTGCAGTGAGCTGAGATCGCGCCACTGCACTGCAGCCTGGGCGACTAAGCAAGAGTCCATCTCAAACCAACCAACCAACAAACAATAAGTTTAAGTTCCTCTGAGCCAATGAATACCTTCAGTCTTCCTGCCAAGAAGTTGACTAATAACAAATCAGTGAGTGTGAGCATGTTCAAGTCAAAGTCACACTCGTCTTGGCATCCCCTTCTCAAGGTAGTTGTTTACTTCATTTTAGAGTAAGCCATGTGGTTCTTGTTCATATGGGTGGTTTTATTTTTGTGTTTGTTGGTTTTATTTGCAAGACAGAGTCTCGCTCTGTTGCCCAGGCTGGAGCACAGGAGCACGATCTCAGCTTACTGCAACCTCCCCCTCCTGGGTTCAAGCGATTCTTGTACCTCAGTCTCCCTAGTAGCTGGGATTACAGACCTGCTCCACCACGCCCAGCTAATTTTTATATTTTTAGTAGACATGGAGTTTCACCCTGTTGGCCAGGCTGGTGTTGCACTCTTGATCTCAAGTGATCCACCTGCCTCAGCCTCCCAGAGTTCTGGGATTACAGGCATGAGCCACCGCACCCGGCCATATGGGTGGTTTTAAAATGAGTGTCTAAGCAGCACGTAGCTTGGCGACCTACTTTGCTGACTTGCAGGAGGTATGTGAAAAACTGACAGCTAATGGATTATGTACCCAATGGCCAGTGTTCTCAAACCATGATCTGAGGACCCGGGGGTCCCAAGACCTTTTAAGGGTGTCTGTGAGATCAAAACGATTTTTGTGATAATCCTGAGATGACGATATTTGCTCTTCATTCTCTTTCTCTCATGAGCATATGGGAGTTTTCCAGAGACTGCCCGCCACGCCACATCACAACTGACCTGACCCAGAAGTACGTCTGAGAATTCAGTTCTCTTCGATGAGGCCAGACATTCAAGAGATTTACAAAAATGTAAAACAAAACAACTCTTCATGTAATAGGCTTATTTTAAAAAATGAATTAATATGACTCTCGCTTGCCATTTCTAATACAGCAAATATTGATCAATATAACCCACATAAGCAAAAGCTCTTTGGAGCCTTCGATAATTTTAAGTGTGCAAAGGGGCCTGAGACCTAAAACTTCGAGAACTGCTGACTTCAGAGTGAAGGTTGAGACTTTTAACTGATTGGTTATCTACTGAAGGCTACTATTTCTCCGTTGGAAACAATTCTGTATTGTTAATGGTCAACAGAAAAGTGATTGGACCTGCTCACTGCTGACAACTTTTAGGAATCATCTATTTTTCTTTTTTTTTTTTTTAAAGAGACAGGGTCTCGCTATGTTGCCCAGGCTGGAGTGCAGTGGCTATTCACAGGCACGATCCCACTACTGATCAGCACGGGGAGTTTTGACCTGCTCTGTTTCCGACCTGGGCCGGTTCACCCCTTCTTAGGCAACCTAGTGGTCCCCCGCTCCCGGGAGGTCACCATATTGATGCTGAACTTAGTGCGGACACCTGTTAGGCATAGTGCACTACAGCCCAGAACTCCTGGGCTCAAGCAATCCTCCCACCTCAGCCTCCCGAGTAGCTGGGACTGCAGGCACGTGCCACCATGCCCGGCAGGAATCATCTATTTTTCAAGAAGTTGAGCCCACTGCAGACAAAACCCACAGGTCAGGGCAAGATGGCAAAGACCCAGTCGGGTACTCTCAGGGAAAGCCGAGCACCAGGAAAAGTTTGCCATGGGGCTCATCAGCCTCCCTTGGGCATGACTTAGTCCATGCTTGGGAAATGTCTTTCATCTTTTTTTCATGTCTCTGTTACTGCCAATTAATCCCAGCTGAGGGGTTTGCAGACTGCCAGCCAAATTATCTGTTTGTCCCTATCCCTGCGTTTGGAAGAAACAAATGAGAGTTCCTTGGCAATGTTGGGACAGTGACTGGAGGGAGGCAGTGAGGTCCCTAGGAGGGGCCCCTTCCAGGGGCCCACCCTGCACTTGCAGGACCCTGAGAGCTTGCACCCTGGATGCGTCTCTCCTCCTGGGCCTGAGAAATACTGCCGACTAAGGATAGCAACTCAGCGAAAGCCCCCGACACGGCTGTACCCTCATTTCTCTTCAGTATGAAGCAGCTATGGGAGAGTTTTCTAAAGTCACCACAGTACAGCCTGGCAGCCTAGGCTTGGAGGCAACAGAGTAGGCTTAGGAGAAACCACCTCCCAGGTTGTTAGATAAGAGGTCTCAGAGAGTCAGCACTCTCTCAGCTGGTGGGTGTTTCAGGAATAGAACTCAGGACGCCTTGGCAAACTTGAAATTCCCCTATAAAACTTAAAATGTGGCATTGTCAACACCTTTCTGGTGGTGGAATTCATACATTAGATTGTTTCTCAAGCTTTTTTGACTCTCACCTACAGTAAAAAAACACAGAAATACATTTTACACTGCAACCTGGTTCTCACGTGTGTGTGTGTGTGTGTGTGTGTGTGTGTGTGTGTGTGTGTGTGTATTTATTTATGAGACAGGGGGATATGGTTTGGCTCTGTGTCCTCACCCAAATCTCATCTCGAGTTGTAATTCCCATGTGTCAAGGGAAGGACCTGGTGGGAGGTGACTGGATCATGAGAGAGATTTCTCCCATGTTGTTCTTGTGATACTGAGTTCTCATGAGATTGGATGGTTTTATAAGGCAGCTTCCCTCCTCTCACTTTCTCTCCCTCTCTCTCACCTGCTGCTGCATAAGACATGCCTGCTTCCCCTTCCCTCATGATTGTAAGTTTCCCGAGGCCTCCCCAGCCAGGGGGAATTGTAAGTCAATTAGAATTCTTTTCTTTATAAATTACCAAGTCTCAGGGAGTATTCTTTATAGTAGTGTGAAAATGGACTAATACACAGGGTCTCATTGTGTTGCCCAAACTGGTCTCAAACTCCTGAGCTCAAGTGATCCTCCTGCCTTAGCTTCCAGAGTAGCTGGGATTGCAGGTGTGAGCCACTGCACCCAGCTATTCTATTTTTAAAAAGAAAATGCTGCTCATTAAACAGATATCACCACCCACTAACTGGTCGTCACCTACAGTTTAAAGAACACCATGGGCGAAATCGCCCTTGTGATCCAATCACCTCCCACCAGGTCCTTCCCTTGACACATGGGGATTACAACTTGAGATGAGATTTGGGTGAGGACACAGAGCCAAACCATATCCCCCTGTCTCATAAATAAATAAATAAAATGGAAGAGACTGTGTTATATGTAGTAAGGATAAGGTTATATATGTGTGTGTGTGATCCTTTATCTCAATATGTTCTAAATATGTTGACAACATATAGAGATAAAGGATTGGATTGAAAGGATTCTTCCCAGGTTAAGATTCTGCATTTCAGTCTTTCAAAGATGTGTCTTTGTAGGACACATCACAGTAAAGCTCTGCCTGCTTTTGCACCTGAGACCCACGTAGAACTCAAGCATCTGTTTCACAGTAGAGGCACAGGAATGGCTTTCTATACATTTCGGAGATCACAGATTGGTTCTAGTCCCTGGGAACCTGTTGTCCCCCTCCTGGACCACCCTCACAGAATGGCAATACAGCATAGCATTGTTTACCTGCACATATTCCCACCAAAAGTCTGGAAATAATGATAAGCTCAAAGGACTTGGCGACTTTGCTGCATCCCATTAAGATCGCAGGCACAATAGAAAATATGTTGTTGAACAGCAAGGCCCCTTTTCTGCAGAGGACAAAATATCAGTTAGTTTGGCTCAAGGATTCACTCATTCATTCCACAAATGTTCCCGGAGTGTCTCCCCTGCATAGGCTCCAGCAGTTACAGCAGTGGCTTTACTGCTGTGTGTTTAGCTCTCTGCGACCTGGGACTGATACAGGTCAAGTGGGTGGCCTGGTGTGGGAATATTCTCTGTGTGGGGAGCAAATGGAAATGACCACAGTCCAGAGGGCATCAGTGGTGAAAATGGAGGGAAAGGGATCTGTATTAAGATATAGTAAAAGGTTTTTGAAATCATTAGGTAATTTATCATTTTGGTGTAATCTTGAAAGCCAAACCCAAAATTGTCCTGGGTAAGGACATTAGAGGAAAAGAAAAGTATAGGCCTATGTCACGTATGTCAACATAGATGCCACAATCCTGAATGAAATCTTAGATTAAACTCAACAGCATATACAAAATTGTTTCAATGTATTTTTACCATATTAAAGATTACATTTGGGCTTGGCATGGTGGCTCATGCCTGTAATCCCAGCACTTTGGGAAGCCAAGGTGGGCAGATCACTTGAGGTCAGGAGTTTGAGATGAGCCTGGCCAACATGGTAAAAACCATGTCTTTACTAAAAATACAAAAATTAGCCAGTCGTGGTGGCAGGCACCTGTAATCCCAGCTACTCAGGAGGCTGAGGAACCAGAATTGCTTGAACCCGGGAGGTGGAGGTTGCAGTGAGCCGAGATCATACCACTGCACTCCAGCCTGGGTGACAGAGTGAGACTCTGTCTCAATAAATAAATAAATAAATAAATAATAAAATTGTGGGGGAAAACACTGGATTATCTCAACAGAAGCAGCAAAATAAGTCAAAATTTAATGCCATTATGATTTTTAAATTTTTATTTATTTGTTTATTTAAAAGTTGGCCTGAGTTTCTTTCTTCCTTTCTTTTTTTTTGATACAGAGTCTCACTCTGTCACCCAGGCTGGAGTGCAGTGATCTTGGCTCACTGTAACCTCGGTCTCCTGGGTTTAAGTAATTCTTATGCCTCAGCCTTCCAAGTGGCTAGGATTACAGGCACATGCCACCAAGCCCAGCTAAGTGATTGTATTTGTAATAGAGATGGGGTTTCCCCATGTTGGCCAGGCTGGTCTCGAACTCCTGGCCTCAAGTGATCTGCCTGCCTCAGCCTCCCAAAGTACTGGGATTATAGGTAGGCATGAGCCACTGCACCCAGCCATTTTTTGTTTTTTTTAGCCAGTCTTAACAAACTATAAATGGAGGAACTTCTTTAAGCCGATAAAGGGAACCTACCTAAAACCTATATCAAACATCACACTAACCTAGAACGTAATCCCATTTAAGTCAGGAACAAGCCTTCCCTAGAGATCCAGACAGAAGCAAAGCTAACTTCTCCAGAGGGGCCTCTCACAATGGAGCCCTCATGACGAGGACCCTCATGACGGACAAAGCCATTAATGGGTAGAGCTCCACCATTCTTAAACACATGAAAAACTCGCCACACCTGAGAGCCGCTTACACTAACAGCACACCTTCAGACAACAGAATCAGACTGGGACTATAAAATCTTTAAAACGATTACTGTCATAAAATAAGAAATCCGAATGGTGCTGTACTGGAGAACTGGCAGTATCTGATTTCAAGGCTCACTATAAAGCTACAGTAATCAAGACAGTATGGTACAAGTAAATGAATAGACAATAGGCCAGGTGCGGCGGCTCACGCCTGTAACCCCAGCACTTCGGGAGGCTGAGGTGGGCAGATCACATGAGGTCAGGTGCTCAAGACCAGCCTGGTCAGCATGGTGAAACCCCATCATCTCTACTACAGCCATGTGCCTGTAATCCCAGCTATTCAGGAGGCTGAGGCATGAGAATTGCTTGAACTTGGGAGGCGGAGGTTGCAGTGAGCCGAGGTGGCACCACTGCGTTCCAGCCTGGGTGACACAGTGAGACTCTGTATCAAAAGAAAAGGAAAGAGAATAGACAAATAGATCAATGGAACAGAACAGAGAGTCCAGAAATGGACCCAAGTAAGTCTAGTCAACTGATCTTTGACAAAGGAGCAAAGGGAACACATTGGAGAAAAACGTCCTTAAAAAATGGTGCTGGGCTGGGTGCAGTGGCTCATGCCTGTAATCTCAGCACTTTTGGACACCGAGGTAGGAGGATCACTTGTGTACAGGAGTTCCAGACCAGCCTGGGCAACAAAGTGAGATGCCATCTCTAGAAAAAATAATAAATTGACCAGATGCAGTGGCTTACGCCTATAATCCCAGGAACTTTGAGAGGCCAAGGTGGGTGGATCACCTGAGGCCAGGAGTTCGAGACTGGCCTGGCCAACACGATGAAACCCTGCCTTTACTAAAAACACAAAAAAATTGGCCAGGTGTGGTGGCACACACCTCTTATTCCAGTTACCTGGAAGACCGAGGCTAGAGAATTGCTTGAACCCAGGAGGCAGAGTTTGCAGTGAGCTGAGACTGTGCCACTTTGCACTCCAGCCTGGGTGACATAGCAAGACTCTGTCTCAAAAAAGAAAAAGAAAAAAATCAAAAATTAACTGGGCACTACTGGTGGTGCACTCCTGTAGTCCCAGCTACTGGAGAGGCTGGGGCAGGAGGACTGCTTAAGCTAGGAAGTTTGAGGCTGCAGTGAGCTGTGATTGTGCCACCACACTCAGTCTGGGTGACAGAATGTGACCCTGTCTCAAAAACAAAAATAGAAAAGAAAATGGTGCTGGAACAACAGGACATCTACCTGCAAGAAAATGAATCTAGACACAGACATTAGAACCTTCCCAAATATTAATTCACAGTGGCCACAGACCTAAATATTAAATGCAAAACTATAAAACTCCTAGAAGATAGCGCAGGAAAAAAAATCTAGACAGTCTTCGGTCTGACAATGACTTTTCAGATATAACACCAAAGGCATAATCCACGAAAAGAAAGAATTAATCCTTAAAATGAAATACATACAGAAAGTTAGAAAATATAAAATTAAAAGGCCAATATAAACAAAAAGGGAAGTTGGATGACAGTCTTAATAACTGACAAAATATAATCTGAGACAAAACTATCATAAAACACAGAGGTGTTATATGCATTACAAAGAAGTAAAATAAATAATAGCAAAGAAGATAGAATTGTCATATAGATGATGCCAACCAACAGCCTCAAAATACATACAGTGTCAACTGGACTGATCAAATTCCAGGGAGGAACAGGGAAAGCAACAGTTTTGGTCTGAAGTTGCTAACATGATCCTCTCAAAATAGTAGGTCAATGACACAAAGAACAAGTAAAGATAGGAACCAGTGGCATACCAAGAAGGGAGGCGGACATTTTATGGGAGTGCGCCCCTCCCAAGCAATTGTCTGTCCTTTTATAACCATAAGAAATCACAATAAAGTTTTATTTCAGAATGAAAGAAAAAAGAAAGAGACGGAAGAAAGGAGGGGAAAAAAGAAAGAGAGAGGGAGGGAGGGAAGGCAAGAGAAAAAGGAAGAAAGAAAAAAAAAGAAAATGAGTTGATAAGCTGGTCTTCAGTAAGATTAAAACTTTCTGCTCTGTGAAAGACACTGTTCAGAAGATGAAAAGACAAGCCACAGACTAGGAGAAAATATCGGCAAAGGCCATAGCCGATAAGGGACTGTTCTCCAAAATACACAAAGAACTCGTAAAATTCAAAAAGAAAACAAACGACCCAATTTTTAAAAGGGCCAGAGATCTTAACAGACACCTCACCAAGAGACACAGATGGGAAATAAGCATATGAAAGGTGACCCACACGGTGTGTTATCAGGGAAATGCAAATTAAACAATGAGGTACCACCTGTCAGAAGAGCAAAAACCCAGAACTCTGACAACACCAAAACGACACCAAATGCTGGAGCAACAGGAACCCTCATTCGTTGCTGGTGGGAATGCAAAATGATACATCCATTTAAAGAACAGTTTGGCAGTCTCCTATAAGACTAAACGTATGCTTATCTGTACTCATATGATCCAGCAATCACATACTTTGGGATTTACCCAAAGGAGTTGAAAACATATGTCCGCACAGGAACTTACGTCCGCACTGAACGTTCACAGCAGCTTTATTCATAATTGTCAAAACTTGGAAACAGCCAAAATGTCCTTTAGTAATGAATGGATAAAGCGTGGTACAACCAGACAGTGAAATATTATTCATCACTAACAAGAAATGAGCTACCAAGCCATGAAAAGACATGGAGAAGCCTTAAGTACACCTGAGTGAAGGAGGCCAATCTGAAAAGCCTATCTGTGTGCAAGAAGGAGCATAAAGAAGAAAAGAAAGAGAGAAAGAAAGAAAGAAGAAAAGAAGGAAAGAAGAAAGGAAGGAAGGAAGGAAGGGGAAGGAAGGAAGAAAGAAAAAAATCCTACATACTATATGATTCCAACTATATGGCATTCTGGGAAAGGCAACCTCTGGCGATAGTAAATGGATCAGTGGTTGCCCGGAGTTAGAGAGAAGGGAGGGATGAGTAGGCAGAGCACAGAGGATTCTTAGGGCAGTGAAACTACTCTATATGATACTATAATGGTGGATACAAGTCATTACGCTTTTGTGAAAACCCATAGAATAAACCCTAATGTACACTATGAACCTTGGGTGATGATATACCTCAATGCCAATTTTGTCATTTATAACAAATACACCACTCTGGGGAGAGATGCTGATAAAGGGGGAGTCTGTGTATGTATCGGGGAGAGGGTGTATGGGGTCTCTGTAGCTTCTTCTCAATTATGCTGTGAGCGTAAAACTGCTCTTTAAAAATAAAATATAGGCTGGGCAAGGTGGCTGATGCCTGTAATCCCAGCACTTTGGGAGACTGAGGTGGGCGGATCATGTGAGGGCAGGAGTTTGAGACCAGCCTGACCACCATGGTGAAACCCTGTCTCTACTAAAAATACAAAAATTAGTCAGGCGTGGTGGTGCACACCTGTCATTCCAGCTACTCCGGAGGCTGAGGCAGGAGAATTGCTTGAACCTGGGAGGCGGAAGTTGTAGTGAGCCAAGACTGTGCAATTGCACTCCAGCCTGGGTGACAGAGTGAGACTCCACCTCAAAAAAAAAAAAAGAAAAATATCTATTTTTAATGTTAGGACATGGTGGCTCATGCCAGTAATCTCAGCACTTTTGGAAGCCAAGGTAGAAGGATGGCTTGAGCCCAGGAGTTTCAGACCAGCCAGGGCAACATGGTGAAACCTTGTCTCTACTAAAAATACAAAAATTGGCTGGACATAGTGGTAGGCATCTGTAATCCCAGCTATTTGCTGAGGCAGGAGAATCATTTGAACCCAGGAGGCAGAGTTTGGAGAGAGCCAAGATTGCACCATTGCACACAGAACGAGACTCCATCTCAAAACAAATAATAAATAAATAATAAAATAAAAAATAGTACTATAGGAAAGAACAAAAAAACTATAAAAGTTATCTAAAACAACGATAGAAAATAAATTTTAAAAATGAATAAACAGAACTTATTGAAATGAAAAATATAGTCATTAAAATTTAAAACATAGCAGGTTTATTACATCTGAAGAGAGAATTAATGAATGGGAAGGGAGACCTGCAGAAATTACCTAGAAAGCACCTGAGAGAGATAAGAAGATGGGAAATATGAGAGATTCAAAGACACGGAGGAACTTCATAGAGTTCCAGAAGCAAAGGATATAGAAAATGGGGGAGGGGTGGTATTTGTAGCGATACGGGCTGAAAACTTCCTAGAACTGATAACAAAGAAGTAAAACTTCAGACAAGGAACCGCAGTGACTCCCAGGATAAACAAAACTAAATCCTTGGTCCTTTACAATGAAACTTTCTTGAAGGACATCTAAGAAGACCTGAAGATGATGGAAAGCTTGTAGGGATGTCAGTTTTCCTTAAGTTAATTTATAAATTCAGAGTAATGCCAATCAGAATATTTTTTCAGCGATTTTGAGAAGCTGACTTAAAATTTTAAATGGAAGAGTAAAGGGACACGAATAACTAAGATAAATTTGAGAGCAAGTGACTTTCCACTTGGAAAAAAAATAAAATTAGTTCTCTCTCATCACCCAGTATACACAAAATAAAACACCAGATCTAGCTGGAAGAACAAAATTGTGAAATTAATTTTAAAAATATACAAGAAGCCAGGCATAGTGGTTCATGACTATAATTCCAGCACTTTGGGAGGCCAAGGTGGGAGGACTGCTTGAGCCCAGGAGTTTCAGACCAGCAAGGGCAACATAGTGAGACCCTGTCTCTACAAAACTAAAAAATGAGCAGAGCATGGTGGTGCACACCTGTAGTTCCAGCTATTTAGGAGGCTGAGGCAGAAGGATCCCTTGAGCCCAGGAGTTCAAGGCTGCAGTGAGCTATGATCATGTCACTGCACTGCCCCCCTGGGTGACAGAGTGAGACCCTGTCTCACATATATATATTTATAGTTTTTACTTTTTAAGTGTCCCTAGTTGAAAAGCAAAAACTATAAATTTGACCACTTGAAGACTTTAAAATTTTGCATTAAAAAGGTGCTATAGGTATGATTAAAAAATAAGGCAAGAGATTGAGGAGATATTTGCCCTAAATAACAGAAGTAGAGTAGAGAGGTTACTTGCTCATACTCAGAAGTGAAATGTCCTGGGTTGGAGTCTTGGCCACCTCCCAGCTGTGTGATCTCCGGTAAGTTACAATGTCTCTGTGTGCACCATTTCCCCATCTTTAAAGTGGGGCTTGTAATAGTACTTCCAAATGCAGTCAGGATAGTGCCTGGCACATAGAAACTCATTAATAAATGTTAGTTGCTACTATTATTTAAATAACACCAGCTGCACGTGGTGGTTCACCCTGTCATCCGAGCACTTTGGGAGGCTGAGGAGGGTGGATCACTTGAGGCCAGGAGTTTGAGACCAGCCTGGCCAAAATGGTGAAACCCCATCTCTACTAAGGATACAAAAATTAGCCAGGCATGGTGGCGGGTGCCTGTAATCCCAGCTACCTGGGAGGCTGAGGCAGGAGAATGGCTTGAACCTGGGAGGTGAAGGTTGCAGTGAGCCAAGATCATATCACTGCACTCCATCCTGGGCGTCAGAGCAAGACTCTGCCTCAGTAAATAAATAAATAAATAAATAACACAAATACTTAAGAAAATGGCAAGCCAAATAGCATTTATCAGACCCCCAAGAAGACAGTTCAAATTAGCAACCTTCAGCTCCATCTGTGAACCAAATGGCGTGCTCTTCACTCAAGGAGAAGTGTCCTGCAGGTCTGATTCTGGAGGGATGTTCTGCTCCATGGGGGCCCACAGGGAAAATTGTGGGTTCAACACTAACCTCTCAAGAAGATGCTGGATTCCAAAGCAGTGGCAGTGTTTTTTTTGTTTGTTTGTTTGTTTTTTGCTTTTGTTTTGGAGTTTTGCTCTTGTTGCCCAGGCTGGAGTGCAATTGTGTGATCTCAGCTCACTGCAAACCTCCACCTCCCAGGTTCAAGTGATTCTCCTGCCTCTGCCTCCCAAGTAGCTGGGATTACAGGCATGTGCCACCACACCTGGCTAATTTTTTTTTTTTTTTTTTGTATTTTTAGTAGAGATGGGTTTCACCATGTGGGTCAGGCTGGTCTCAAACTCCTGACCTCAAGTGATCTCCCCGCCTCAGCCTCCCAAAGTGTTGGGATTACAGGTGTGAGCCACCACACCCAGCCGTGTGTTTTTATTCCAGATTCTATTCTAGAAATACTGGAGGAGGAATCAGAGTCTGGGTTACAGTCCTGGCTCTGGGCTCACTAGAGCTGTGACCTCACTCAGCCCCCGTGCGCTCCTCATCCCTGGAGTTGGATGAGGGGACTTCTATAATTCTGTTTTTAACTAGGTCCTCCATAATGTCCATGGAAGTTACATGGGAGAGTGTGATATCTTAAGGAAACTTTTTTGGAATAAAATATGGAATTTCTAATGTTTCTAGAGATAGGGGCAAAGATACAGCCCTGACCCCCCTGTGTTCACGAGGCTGGTGTCACAAGAGAGATGTCCTAGATGACACTGTGGGGGCAAAAGGGCAGTGTAAGCCAAAGCGAGTCCTGGGTCTCCACAAGCACACAAGGCTCCTTCTGGGTCCGCCGAGAGCCTGCAGATCCCAGGCCACCCCTGCTTCTAACCCATGAGACCCTTCCTAGGTCTCCAAACACTGACAATATCTGGTCTTCTTTTCTGACCCCATTAGAAAATAAAAATGACGAGCCAGGCGCAGTTGCTCCCCTCTGTCATCCCAGCACTTTGGGAGGCTAAGGCAGGTGGATCACCTGAGGTCAGGAGTTTGAGACCAGCTTGATCAACATGGCGAAAACCCATCTCTACTAAAAATACAAAATTAGCTGGGCGTGGTGGTGTACACCTGTGATCCCAGGATCAGGAGGCTGAGGCAGGAGAATGGCTTGAACCCGGGAGGCAGAAGTTGCAGTGAGGCGAGATTGTGCCATTGCACTCCAGCCTGGCCAACTCAAATTAAAAAGAAAAGAACAATGACCACAGTGATTATTATCCTAGTCTCATGGTAAGGATTTCAGTGGTAGGCCCATGTTTTAGCTCCGATGGGGGTCTATGAGTTTCAGGGAATTAAAGATTCCCCTTCCCTTACCTGCCAAATTTATTCACCAAGGGCCCGACCAGGAGGGATCCGATGAAGCCTCCAAAGGGAAACATGGACACAGTTAAAGACCAGAGCAACGTCAAGGGGAAGTCTTCCATGATTTCACCAGTCCTGTCCTGGTAGGTCTCATTGTAAAATTGTCGCATGTACTAGGAGACAAAGCCAAACAGAACACCAAAATAATGTGATCCGGTTTTGCAGGAAGAACATTAACTGTTAGGACACCCAGCAAAACAGTGCACAGAGACCAACCTTATTCACCGGGGGGTGGGGGTGGGAGGCAGGAAAAAGCTTTGTGAGAAGCGAGCAGGGCGGCCACCACGGGGAGGGCTGGGAAGCCTCTGACCAGCAAACCACCCTGGGTATTTCTCAGCCAGAAAGGAGACCCCAGGCCCCTCCAGATTCCCTCTAAGCCACAAGGCCACAGAAGATCTGAGCCCCGTCCTGGAGCCCCGCCCACTGTGTGTCCAGCCAGACCTGGCCCATCCCAAGGGCCCCGTGTCTGAGAGTTCCCTCAGGTCTGTGGTGTGTCCCAGGGGTGTTTCCCTCTCCCTTTGCTTGAAGACCCACTGGATGAACAGCCCCTCCCTGGCCAGTCCCACCCAGGCAACGAGCTGCTCCAAACACCCTCCCCACATCTTGCTCCCCACAGTGACCTACCATTGCTGGGGAGTTGACAGCAGCCACATTGTACCCATACTGGAAGGACGACCCAAAGGCAGCTATCAGGGTTGCCAGGGCAAGCACAAGCGTCAGCCTCTGCAGAGATCACGGCTTAGGTCAGGAAGCAGCTCCAGGGTTCCAGGGCCCTCCCGCTTTACTTCAGTTCATAGAAAGATGTAACAGAGTCTGAAGATCCGTGGTCTTGAAACTATTTGAATACCTTGAAACCTACCCTCAACACACCTTGAGTTACAACAGGCTTTCTCAACCACGGCACTTCTGACGATGGGGGTCCAATATTTCTTTGTTATGGGGGCTGTCCTGAGCACAGCAGGATGTTTACAGCATCCTCCACCCGCTAGATTCCAGTAGCAACCCTCTCCCCAGCTGTGACAACCCAAATGTCTTCAGACATTGCTAAGTGTCCCCTGGCGGGGAAGTGCCCCCATCTGAGAACCACTGGATCAGAAAGAAGTGAAACTGGCTGGGCACGGTGGCTCACACCTGTAATCTCAGCACTTTGAGAGGCCGAGGCAGGTGGATCACTTGAGGTCAGGAGTTCGAGACCAGCCTGACCAACACAGAGAAACCCGTCTCTACTAAACATACAAAATTAGCCGGGTGTGGTGGCATATGCCTGTAATCCCAGCTACTCGGGAGGCTGAGACAGGAGAATTGCTCGAACCCGGGAGGAGGCGGTTGCGGTGAGCTGAGATCACGCCACTGCACTCCAGCCTGGGCAACAAGAGCAAAAGTCCCTCTCAAAAACAAAACAATGACAACAACAACAAAAAAAAAAAAAAAAAAAAAAAAAGGAAAAGAAAGAAGCCGAAGCCTACTTCTCTAACAGCTTCTCTGCAGCTACTACAGCTAATGTTTGAAATGCTCTTGTGACATTCCTGTCACGTGGTGGTGTTTGCCAACCATAGCAAATTAGCTCTTGCACTATCTCAAACATAAACTGCCAGAAAATCAAAGAGAAAAAGAAGGAAAATTTTAGTTATTTAACTAAATTCCTTTCAATCTTTAATGATGAGGAAATTCATTCGTAATGAAGAGCAGGAGACAGACATGGAAAGAGCTGTGCGCTTAAAATCTACAGACCTCATTTTTGAATCTACCCATTGCCACTTTTCAGCTTAATTCCTATGATCTTCAGTTTCCTCATCTCTAAAATGAGGACAATCACACTCCCTCGCAGTGTTTGCCAGGATTAATTATGACCATGTCTAGCTGTAGAGGTGAATCTGCTGGGATGCTGCTCTCTGACTTGTCATTGAAGGACCTTCTTCCATCTCCTCTGATGGAGAGCCCCCTTCACAGGTGACACAGGTTCATGCTTGGCCCTCCAGTGACAAGCTGAGCACTATCCCACTGGATCTAAATCTACAGAGAATCTTTTTTTTTTTTTTTTTTTCTGAGACAGGGTTTCACTTTCTTGCCCTGGCTGGAGTGCTGTGGTGCCGTTACAGCTCACTGCGACCTCAACCTCCTGGGCTCAAGTGATCCTCCCACCTCAGCCTCCCAAGTAGCTGGGACTACAGGTGCATACCATCATGCCTGGATTTTTTTTTTTTTTTTAATTTGTTTGTAGAGACAAGGTCTCATTATATTGTCCAAGCTGGTCTCAAACTCCTGGGCTCAAGCAATCCTCCTCCTCGGCCTCCCAAAATGCTGGGGTTGTAGGTATGAGCCACGGTGCTCAGCCTAAAGAGGATGTCTTCAGAGAGGTAAGTGAGGAGTCCAGACAGGGAGAGAAACAATGATCATTTCTGCCTTGTCGGGTCCCCAGACAGGATGAAGTGAATCTCGGCAGGGCAGCACCTGCAAGGAGCCCTAGTGAAAAGCAAAAACACACCACACACACATGCACACACAAAATACATACACATGTACTACACACACACATGTGCACACACTACACACACGCACACACTACACACATGCACACCCACACAATACACTACACACATGCACACTACACACGTGAACATACTACACACACACCTGCATGTACACACATACTACACATCCCACACCCTTGCACACACCCCCATGACACACACACACCCACACATAC